AACCCTTCTAATTTGGCCCTACAGAACAAGCGGCTTCGTTAGACCTCCCAATTGTATAAGCATGTCTACATTGCAATTTCATTTTTGAACTTTTCAAACCAAAACGACGAAATGGTTTTTAATCTCAGTGGGCATTCGCTTGATTGTTGTGGCTGATCCTTCAATGACATCTGTTGGTGAATGCGTTGAAGACGGGATTCGTGCCGGGAAATTGTCCGAGCTGCCTGAAAATAGCAAGAAAGGTTTTGGGAAGAAGGACCAAGACAAGGAGCTAGCCGTGGAAATAAAAGCTACCTTTGCCCAATCCCGTTGAGCCGGTTACAGGTCCGTGTCAGGACTAAAGAAGTAAAACCAGCCCCGTAAGTTCACACGATTACCAGCACCTTTGTCAAAGCTCTTGCTGACTTTACAAAAACAATATCCGGTGGGACCCCTCGAAGAGGTGCAAGAACCACGTGCGTGAAATTGGCCATTCGATTGTTTATTGCCTCCCTTTGAAGCACAAGATCCAACACTGGATAGATGCCGTAGCGTTGTTGTTCAAGACAGTAGAGGGAGCAACCCAACCAAATGTGCAGCTGAAAGCACTACCCAATTCATGCGAGCACAAACTAGTGTGGTGAAAGAGAGTGTCGTGAAGTTTCATTGTAATTTTTTGTTGTTGTTTCCATTCTCGGATGTTTATCTTTACGCAGGTAAATTCTTTAGGCAGATGTTTATGCTCCTGGGTTGCGCTGTAGGTTCAGCAAAGATTTGTGATCACGAAATACTATCCCGTTTGGTTGAATAAAAATTTACATTTTCGAAAGGGTTAATACCACGAAAAATCACAAACTGGTACACTCGTAAAAAATTTGCTCCTAACTAATTTTTTGATCACCAAAAACTCCAAAATGGTACATTTGTGACAAATTTACCCTCCGTTAAATTGGATAAATACCACGAAAAATTACAAACAGGTAAACATGTGACAAATGGAGGGATAAAACCCTAAACTGGTACACCTATCAACTGTCACGTGTCATCCAACTCATCAATTTAATGATAAAATTTAACGGAAACTAACAGAGATTAAATTTGTCATAGATGTACTAGTTTTGAGTTTTTTGTGGTCAAAAAATTAGTTTAGGGTAAATTTATTACGAATGTACTAGTTTGAGATTTTTCGTGGTATCAGCCCTTTTCGAAATGTATTTCATATTAATGGCACGTGGAGATACACTAAACAAGTTCTGTAATGATACCTCTCTAAAGGTTATGCTTCTTTTGGGCGCTGCTAGGTCGTCTCAGGCAACAATTAAACAAGGCCTTGTTATAACGTTAGGAACTTAGGACCCCCTAAGCGATAAATGCAAAGTCAAGAAAAATACTCGTATGAATTTCCTAAAATAGACTAATGCATAAAAGGAAAGTGGATATGCGAGTGAGATATGCACTATATGAATATGTACTAGATCAATTATATTCCTAAAATAAGCTATTAATATATAAGGAAAATTTGAAGTAATGTAATCTATAGTGAAATGCAATCCTAAGAAAGCAAATCCACATGTGTCAAGAAAATACACAAGTAAATCTAAATTTCCCTAAATGCACCCTGAGAAATTTCTTTGATTTCTTTAATGAAGATGTATGAATTACTAAAATGCGAGATCTAATTGTTTATATTTTCCATTTTATGACATGTAATTTATGGAAGTATATGTGCAAATATGTCAATTAAATAATAAAGCAAACGAAATGTCCCAGAAATATGGAATCCGGAACTAGATAGGGTCTAACTAGAACCTAGAACCGGTCAGGTTTCCAGTTCTACCCTAGAATGGTACTCACCCCGATTGTGCACTAAAACAATTATTTATGGCGAATTCCAATTATTCTAACATGTCAAGAGTAATTATGCGAAATATTATAATAATATGTAAAGATATACAAAATATGTCTAAATATGGATACCCTTAGATATGCAAATATCAATTTTTATAGATATGTAAACATTCCCGATGCAATTTCCTATGTGCATAATATTAGATCAATCTAAAAATGTGATTCTTTTTGTTGAAATATTCCACATCACAGCTTAAGTTTTTGGGTTAAATTTCTAGCATGATATCAAAGCCAAGTTCTACTCATTTTGTGTGTGCATCCACACCGTTAGAAAGAGTAATTGCAGCCTATCAAAAGAGTAATATGAATTTGCAAATAATAATAGTCTAAACGGATATTTATTGCAATTGGATCACCTACCTTTCTCTTCAATTACCAAACATACTAAACTTTCATTTTTCTTCATAAGCAATGTATTTTGATTGAAATCCGATTAATGACGTGACAAAATATGACGCGGAAGTCACATCCCACGTGAAACTTATCCCATCTTTTGCTACTAACAAAATAAAAATTCTGTGATCTGTGGACTTTTTGTGTATCTTTCTTCTCAATGTTTTTAGTTGCTTCAAAGATATGATGATTATGGAAAATAAAAAAAGAAAGATATGGTGATTCGCATGTTAAAGAAATAAAAATACTAGAGATCTCTAAACTATTGCAAAAAGTCCGATTTGTTCTTGTCAATTTTCTTATAGCGCAACTGGGTCCCTAAATTGTGTAATTTTTTGTTCGAATCAATCCTCCCATCAAGCAGACGTGGCAAGCCACATCAGCGCCACGTCTAGTGACAAAAAAGGAAAATGGAGGTTGAATAAGGTAATGTGCGAGAGGGAGCAAGAAGGAGCACGAGGGAATAAGAGAGAAATTAATGAGTTCTGAAATGCTATATATATAAATATATATAGATGGGCTAAGAGGGGCCACGGCCCCCCAGTTTGCAGCCCAGACGTTACCAAACTATCAAATTCTCATATACCAAAAGCCATATTTGTTCCTCTTCGGCCCAAAAGAAAGCCATAGTTCTCTCTCCAAGTCAACAACCTAGCTTCAGGACAGCAACATTTCGGATCTCTCTCTTCTCAGCTAATTAGCATCCATTATCGTTATTTTCATGGCGATAGTTCAGCCACCCTCACCGGCATCTGGGTTGGTCCCTAGCCGCCGCATCTAGGCCCGTCGCAGCCCTGTAGAAACAGAGATAGCAAGATCCTCATCATCATCTGACCAGTCGTCGAGACGAAACAAGAGGACACAGTGCAAGGCCGACCCCAGACGCTGCGGCGTGGGCCTCCGACCCCTCGCCACTGATCTGCGCAAGGGCCTTGCCTAAATACGAGGTGATGATCGTGTCCTCGCCGTTAATCGGTAGAGTATCACTCTTGCTGCAGGTTTGTGGTGACACTCTGTCATTAGAAAGGTGAGGTCCAAAAAAGGCGATCACTGGCAAGTGGCAAGGCTAGCGAAGGCCGCGACCTCGGGCTTGGCTTGCGGCCTGCAGAGGTTAACCCTCTCTTTCTCTGTTTTTGCTCTTGCTGAAAGGAAGTCGCCAATGGCTCCGGGTTCGCCTGAGCCTAGTGACCGATGTCCGATCCTCTCCTATGCCTGGACAACGCTGTCTCCACCTCCCTCTCCGCTACTGCCACCGCCAATGGTCCCTTTCTTCCTATGTTCTTTTCTTTTCTTCTCTTTCTGCTTCTGCACTTTCTTTTTCAGATTGTTCAATGCTAAAACCTTAAAAACCATTATTAGATTTTCTCATGCCACGTTGGACGACACGACTGTAATTAAAGGATACGTCCATATCTCCATTTATTTTTTTGACGGAAAGATCGATTCGAAGAAAAAGCATATAATTTGGGATCAACTTTTATAGAAAAATGTTACATTATTCATATTGAGCATTTTAAATAATTAAGAGATTTTCAATTCTTTTATGCCCAATTTAAAATAGTTGCCTACCAAATCCATATCAAATGCATTAGGATTTTTCATTTTGTCCTAAAATGTGCAGCAGAGGGAGAACGCATCTTGATGTGGACTTCCTAAATAATTGGTATTTACTTGATGTATTTTAATTGGTACAGAATAAAGCATCCTTCATTATTTCACATCATGGGGATGTTCCATTAAATTATAGTTATCAGTGTCATGCTTTTTTTTTTCTATTAAGTCAAAAATTTTGGCGCTTCTTATTGACCCACCAAATGATTGAAGGTGCAGATGAACTCGATCCAAATATATCATTTAATTATATGGATCTAATTCATCCAACGATGTATCCGAATTGAGTTCACATACATGGAGAGCACTTTGTACGCGCTCTTTTGCTTCTTCTTCTTCTTCTTCTTTTTCAATGAATTCAATTTCCAATGTGATAGAAAAAAGGTGTTCCATCTTCGTATAGAGGAATGTCAAGATTTTAAGAATTCACGTGGGAGGTGTGAGTTCAAAAAGTCGAGCACAAAATGATCAAAATTAAAACGAGTAAATAACATAATTAATTGGTCCATAACTTATTTATTTAAGGTATTGAGTGAAATTTCAAAAAAAAATAAAAAGGTATTGAATGGAGATAGAAATATCTTTGACTTAGATTTAAACTCCTTTTTGAGAACCCCCATTGTGAGATGGTAGACTTATGTTGAATCTCAACATATATATATATATATATATATATATATATGTTGAACCCCGTGAACCTTTTCTACAGTAACATAGATGTCTTTAAAAACGGACCTCTTTCACTCAAAAGGGCACAGATCATTCCCAATATATATATACACTTCTACTAAGTTGAATGAAGCCCACATAAATATATATATGCGCACAAATATATGAATATACATGATTGATTTAAGGATGAGTTATGACATCGTCCAGTTTTACTATAGTGTGCGGATTTTCATGATTGTCGGTTGTTTGCCATCTTATTCAGCAAATAGGAATAACTGCAATATGGTCCCAAGCGTGGTGGTCTGAAGTCTATCAATTACAGGATGTGACATTTCATTTTCCATCAGTTTTCCCCTGCAAAGGTGTTTCCACTTAGAGATAATTGGCTGACGTTTCTTCAGCTTCATGGCATGCTTCTGCTATTGGACACAATTCAGTACTTAAAATCACGCTGACTAATCTATTTCATTCAATTCACTGCATGTCCAGTACAATTATTAGAACACTTAGTGCCAAATTTAATTTGCAGGCCCATAATTTTGCTAACGATATACAGTTTTTGATTTAGTACACACCACCCCTAGTGACGTATTATCACTTACAGTTGCTTCTTTACACAAACGCTAGACATCACACTTATAGAGAGCCTAAGAACCAGTATGACATATATTGGTTCATATCATGCAGTTGGATAAGAGGCTTCCATGGCAAGACCACAGAGACCAGCCTTAGAGCTCACATCCCTCTGGATCCTCATGTAGCCGCTCTCACCCCACCCGGTGCCCCACGAATTCTTCAGCAGCCAGTACTTGGTCCCACCAGTGGTCATACCGTACCCGACTGCCGTGACAGCGTGATCAAGGCTAGTCCCGCACGACCCAGTGAACACGCCGCCTGAGTAGAATTGGAACGAGAACCCGCTCCCTTCGATTGCCACCGAGACTGGCTGGTTTGCCACGGCCTGCAAGAGGGCCTTCTCGTCGTTGGCCGGCACATCCTGGTATCCAGTTATTGAGGCCGCGATGTTCATCGTCTTGGCCTTGCTGCAGGTCCCATCGTTCGCCTGGTAAGGGTAGTTCGCCTCGGTCGTGAGGCCACCCTTGCTTATGATGAACTTGAAGGCACTGTCCATGAGCCCGCCCTCACAGCCTTGGTCGACACCGTTAACATCACAGTCCACGAGTTCTTGCTCCGAGAGTGACACCAACTTCCCCTTCTTGAGCATGGTAATCCCTTCCATAGCCGCCACGGCCGAGAACGCCCAACAACATCCTGCACAAGGAGATAAGTAAGTTCCCTCTGGCAGGCTTGCAGAAGTTGTTCAAATTATCGTGCAAAATTGAAGACATGTGAATATGTATAGCAAGATTGGTGTAAAATGAATGTAACAGTAATTGTGTTACGTAGTTTGTTAAACATATATTGTTGCCCCTTTTTTTTCCAGCTCAAGTACGACATGAGAGTTTGACATAATCAAGAAACAAATTTCGATTTTGCACTCACCACAGCTGCCTTGATCCTTGACAGACGTCACAACCTTCTTGGTTCGCCAGTCCAAGACAGCTGGAGTGGCGGTGAAGTTCGCGTACTTGAACGGTTTCGCTTCCGCAGAGGACAGGCCAGTGGCGGACCTCCCCTTGTAGCCGGTGTAGGAAGCACGGAACTCCTCGTTGGTCAGGTCCGCGAACTTGTTCACGGCCAGTTTATACCCCACGTCCTTATCATTGTTGAAGGTGTTGATGCGATTAACGTTCTGTTTGAATATCTCATACCGTTTCGCCTTTTCGTCCGCATCCTTGTAGACGCGCCCGTGGACCGCCATCCACTGCTCATGTTGCTCAAATAAGTGTTCCTCTCTGAGAGGGCGACAAAGCGTTTCCGAAGCAGAAACTATAATGACCAAAAGAGTGGCTATTGCGAGGAATGAGAGTTGGTTTTGTTTGGCCATAGTACTGGTTTGGGTACTGTCTAGGACAATTGGAGTGACTTAGTGAATGTGTCTAGCAATTTGTGCACATCTCCAAATGGGGATGACGGCTTTTTATAGACAAAATGTTGCTCAATTGTTGTCACTCTCACTCTCTGTTGATAATGCTTCAGGGGACCTCTTGCTGCTGCTATGTGCCTTGATAGATGTTCCGACTTAGACCTTCCAAATTGGAATCAAGCATGCTATTGCACCCTCATCATGAATAGCACATATGCAATTGAAGTGACTCTGGTTTTCATTGACTGATGGGTGATTAATCAAATTCTCCCATTAAACATAGTGATGTAGTGCAAAAATATATGGTTCTAGGAGGCTTGTTGATTTTGTGGTGGTCTCAACTCCTAGCCGAGAGCGAATCGACCAGTTTCTTTTGTCCCGTCAATGGTTAGGTGCTTGGGCCGATACGTATGTATTTGCCTCCATACATGTGTATGTATCGGCATTCTCGACTTTTTGTAAACTTCAAGAACCCGTCGTTTTACATAGATATACATTTGCATCTACGTTTGTCTTCCGATCATGCGTAAGTTGTTGTGATTCTAGTTCCTATTGGAAAGAATCGCTTTTCTTCGGTGAAACAACCAGCTTAGGTCAACATCTGCTAATAAAATATCATTGATCTTTAGGGTGAGATTATTTGGGAATAAATCGGTGCCGTGTAAATAATGATAGATAACTGAGAGTGGCTGCTGGTGTGCAACACGAAAGCTATACCTCAACCCTGAAATCATATTCTATGACCAATATCAACTTCAGACGACAAGGGGCTGAGTTCCCGTTTTTCTTGACTTTACCATATCAACTTGTTTTCCTAGTTTGGGATGAAGTTCTGGACACTTCCTATGTTTTTCAACTAAGGATGTAAGTCAGTCAAGTCACTCGTGAACTATTCGAGTTCAAGTAGGACAAATACTTATTAATCGAGTCTAGCTCGAGCTTGAAAATACTTGACCTGAATAGCTCACAGGCCTAATCGGGTGATTGAATCTTTGCGTATTTTAACTATATCTCCACATTTATGACAATGAACAAAATGAATATAATTATTAATTTTTTAATTATAGCGTTTTTTCCTTGTCCGAGCTTGAGTTTTAATTCAATTCGAGTTTTGAGCGAGAATTATTGGCTAATTGACTCAAGCTCGAGCTTACTGACGATGTATTTAAATCAAGTATCAAGTATCAATTCGAGTTGACTCAACTCGATTACATATGTGATATCTTTCTATTCTTATTTTGGTCCAAAGAGAAAGGAATAAAGGATTGTTGACTAGGGAAACAACATGGCAGTTTACATTATTATTTTGGCCCAATAAACGCTAACGTGGCAATCTATGTCAAAAAGTGCATGTGACTTGTCGATATGTTTAATGGAACGAACATTAAGTGGATTTTTTTAAAATTCATGGGCTAGATTGAAGAAAATAAAAGATCGGTGACTATACTGGACATTGGGGATCACCCATGTCATTACTCCTTCTTTCATCCTCATAGTATATATTTTTAATGACAGAGAAAACCCAACTTAAATTGGTAAACGTAGTCTCGTCAAAATACACCCAATAATCCCTACGGCCTAGGAAGACGAAATTCGTATCGTTTGAAATTGAATACTATTTACTTCATTCATAGGACTGTCGTTAGGTTTCTGTTCATCAACTGAAGTAGCATACTTTGGCAAATCATGATGTTATAATCTCCTGTAGTTTGGTTAAAGATAAGTAGTTTCACGCCTTTTCACTCGTTACATATTATATATTAGATTGATTTTCACTCGACATGTATTCAGATGTAAAATTTGGCCCGTACCTGAAAATTAAGATATATGAAAATATAGGTTGGAACGACATTCTTGAAAATTGACCCTTGCAACAAAAAATGAAAACCATTCGTAATACTTAAATCTCCAGGTGATCGGTTGAGTGGTTGGTCTAACATTGGGTGAGGATAGATCTGGTACAATCAGCTCTTGGCATTAAGAGTGACATAGTTTCAAGCTTGTAATCTCCTTATTCATTGTGGATTTATCGCTCCCACCCTCTCCTTGTCGTAGGTCTCAGCACTTGGGACCGAACCAGGTCAATGCTACCATGGTGTTTCTCTATTTATCATTCATTTTTCTGTTAATCGCCCTATAGCGGTGGATTGCATGATCTTATTGTGCAATAACACATACTGTACTTTTCCTTAATGTTAAATGATCAGTAATGAATAAGATGGTTTTGTTACTAGCCATGACTAAATGATGATCCATGATAATTTTTTTGTTTCGGGAGTGTAACTTCTCATAATCTAAATGCATCGTAAACCTCCATGTTGAGGTGCATGTGTGAGGATGTAAGGTGAAACGAATCTCACGTATAAGATACGTGGTAAGGTGGAGCAATTAATATGTTATAGTTAGCTTATAACGTATTGGTTTAAACTTTTGAATAAAGATTGAACTCGAATTTAGACTATCCCTTAAAGATTTCCTCAGATGACGTATTGGGCTTCTAATTGTGCGTAGACTGGCAATCGATGAATATTTTAAGGAAAGAATCTCATATGTGACTCCTATATCGAGGCGGCAGATAAAGTTTTCTTGCCAAGTTTGTCCAGATCAAGGAAATCAACATGGAGTTAGAAGGGCACATGTTTAGCGACGTGCCAAACTTGGCCGTTCAAGATGCAAATTCAAGTTGAGATAATATTGGTGTGGAAGGATATATGGATTAAGGAAGGAGGCCTTATATAGGAGGCTCACAAGTGAAAGGAAGATTGTTTGAGGTGCAAGTGGGAGAGTGTTGGGCAAAAAAATTCGGGAAAATTATCCAATCGGTCCTAAACCCGTTACACGAATGTCAATTCAGTTCTAAACTTTTAAATTTTGCAAATTTAGTTTCAAACATTTGTGTGAAATTCCTATGTAGTCCTTCCGGTCAATTTTCGCTAAAAACCTTTCAATTTGTCAATTTAGTTCTGAACCTTTTGAAAATATGTTAATTCAAACCTAAACCTATTATTTGGATAATTAGTTGGAATGACTATATTGACAAATCGGTAAAAGTTTAGGATTAAATTGGTAAATTGTTAAAAGGTTTTAATTTGGCACAATTAAAAAGTTTAGGACTGAATTGGCAAATCGACAAAAATTTTGGAATTAAATTGGCACAATTGAAAGGATTATAACTGAATTAGTTGTCATAAAATAAGTTTAAAACTTTTTGGACAATTTTTCCCGTTCATTAAGTAGAGTACATAATACACATCTAGAGTGACATCCCCAGTTTCACATTATGTTAAGTGATTCATAAGTCAGTACTTACCCCAAATGGTTACCACCTTGTGTGATTATTCAATATACTCTTTTTTGAAATTTTCCTTTGTAGAACGGCCTAAATCGTCACGTATGGTATCGGAAAAAAAAACCCTCTTTAGTAAGTGTGTAGGTCGTGGACAGACTACCCGACCTGGTGAGTGAGAGGAGTGATCGTCGAGGCGAGAGGGTTTGGAGAAGGTGCAACTCCTAACAAGCCTAGGATAGTAGAGGGGGAATGAATGGACCGAATCATACATCGAACGAGAGACATGACATTAGTCGTTACGAGTCAACATTAACAAGAATGACTGGATTTTATGTAAGAAGTTTGTAGCATTCCAAATCCTACATCGATGGAGATCATAAGTCAGCACATGTTGCGGCTGATCACCACTTTGTGTCACATGGTTACTCAAATTACACATTTAAGGGGCATAGCCCTAGGGAATTTGTTTGTGTCTCGAAGCTGTAATCTTAATGGTTCCTCTTCTTCCGCTAACTTCCCTCATTTGTCTAATCAAATCGATCATTCCCATGGTCCGATCCTTCCCAGTAAAACGCGGCTGCTCTTTTTCTTGATGGGGAGAAGATCTAGTTCTTAGTTAAACCTAGAGCAATAGGCATTTCGTCGGGGAGGCCATCGCCGTCCACGTGAAACGGACACGAAAAGTTTTAATATCACTAATAAAATTGTTTATTTTTAATGAATTAAAAGTTTGAAAATGGAGATTATCAAAGATAGGAGATCTTCTTGAAACACGCGGTTGGTGATTTATCTATATATAAACTTGGATCTGGTTGAGCGATCGTCTTCATTTTAGTTAAACAATGCACGAAAGACTTCAATGAGCACACACTTCTTACACTTTGTGTTCATGATTTTAGCATGTAAGTAATTAATAATTATTTACTCTTATTTATTAATATTGACCCGACTAACAAACGAACGTCCTCTCAACGATGTCTCTTTTATTTAATATTGGTTTTTTTTTTAACCGTGCTCAATTATTTAATAATGTTACTACATTTCAAGCTGGACAAGAGGCGAAGGAGGAAAAGGATGTTGGATCCACTAGCACAAAATTATTTTCCAGCACATTATTTTTAGTTTATTTGTTCATTCATTTTTGTAATTGAAACGAGCAATTAATTTTTGAAAAATATTTTTTAAATTATTCATTTTTCGCGAAACAAATAGAGCCTAAAAAGAAAATGTTTTTTGTCACGACTTTTCAGCCACTATTCATATTTTTTCCAAATCTAATCACTTATAGTTGCCATGATCTACCCGCCACGAAAATCTTCTAGGCAAGAAGCCCTTCGCCACGAAATTTTGCCATGGTGAAAAATCGATCTTCTTGTACAAGACGGCCTTTGGCCGTCCACACCATCCTTAATTATAACATGGATAAAATCGCAATTTAAAATTAATGAGGTGATCAAATGGTGATTTCTGTAATCTAGCACTTCCCAAACTTTCATCTTTCCACTGTTAATGCAAGATTAAAACTCACGATGTCTAAGATACGTCAATCTTCCGAGTGTTTATCTGTGTTTTACTCATTTTAAACTATTTTTCATACTTTGATCACAGGCAACGCATCTGCTCTTTTGCTAGCTCATCAAGTATTCTATTCAGTGCCTGATAACTCTATAAAAATAGAGTTATTTTATCTACTCTAGGCAATAAATAATGCAATATTTGTTAGAATATAT